TTAGCGGAGTCGCCAGAATTTGTCGGCCGTTTTTTATCGTTGAGTCTTTAACCTTCGACTTCGTGATTTGAAAGAGGTGATTTGATGATTTTGAAAATAATTTAAATATAAATATAACCTTTTTGAAATAGGTGAGACCAAACGGGTCTCACATTTAAATAGTTTAGGTGATTGAATACCTATTACAAGTGATATATTTATTCTTCAGGATAATTGTATTAACTGTAGTATTGTATTCAATCATTTAAACTATTTAAATGTGAGACTCGTTTGGTCTCACCTATTTTATAATTAAAATGTTACATTTAAAAAATCAAAAATGTTATATTTATATTTAAATTATTTTCAAAATCATAAAATCATCAAATCACCTCTTTCAAAAAAGGTTTAAAAAAAAAACGGCCGACAACATTCTACTTAGTTTTTAGGCATAATGAGTTCCCACAATCATTTGCAACATGTATATGATTTGAAAGAAGAGATTCATACTAAATTGGCTAATATATTTGATAATCATTAGTTATCTTCTAATATAAAAGGAGAGATATTGAGTTGGAACGGAGTGATAGGTAATGGTGTGTTTGAATCCAGAAATGATTGCCACAGGATGCTTTAAAAATTGAATGTGAGAAAGATAGGGTCATTCAACATGATGAGATAAAACACAATTTAGAAATTCATTTCAGCTTCTCTGCCAATCACATGAGTTATATCTGTGCAATAGATCTTTACATATCTTGTACACAATCATTGCTATAATGTCGCTTGATGATAATTATGCAGATGGATTTTAGGGGCATGTATAAATAGTTTCGTTGAATTTAAATTCAGTTATTTCAGTCTCGTGCGTGCTTTCTTGATTTCGAGTTCCTTGAATGCAGCAAACGTTTGATTGTCTGTTTTTTTTGGGGTCTGATTTGCTCTACTCGTTAAATTAAATATTGCTATAACCATCTTGCCTTCTATCTCTTGGTTAGAGTTTGTTGATTTGGGAATAGGTCCCATGTGTGATTTTAATTGTCTCGGCTAATGATTATGTTGATTATGATCTCAACGTATTCTGTATTGGAATTGCTTCTAATACGCTCTCTCTCTCTCTCTAGATTGTGTGAATTTGCTTCTTTAAAGTTTTAGGTATGTGGGTCTGTTTTTGATATGTTTTGTTCATGTTTAGATTCAACGATTGAATATTATGTTTTTTTTCCAATTTAAACTCAACTTTTAATTGTTTTTTAAAATTATTATCCAGAACCAAACATTGGAAATGGTCTCGACCTTGAGAAGTATAGTTGGACCCAGACACTTAAAGAGGTTAACGTTAACATCAAAGTTTCTCGAGGCACAAAGTCTAGATTTGTGATCTGCGAAATAAAGAAGAACCACTTGAAGGTTGGGCTCAAGGGACAGCCTGCAATTATTGATGTAAGTTATTTTCTCTCCCATCTCATTTTTATACAATTTAATTCTCTTGTTCCTAATTTATTTTATACTAGAGGCAAGTGAATTTGTGTGAACTTAATGCATGCTTTTATTTGTAGGGTGACCTTTTTCAATCTGTCAAAGTTGATGATTGCTATTGGAGCATTGGTACGCGACTTTATATCATATCTGGGGAGCATTTACTTGATATTTTTGTCGTTGTTGTTTATGGTTTAAGAAGGAGTATTGACTTTTAAATTTTGTAGAGGATCAGGAAGTCATATCCATACTTCTTACTAAACAAAATCAAATGGAATGGTGGAAGTGTGTAACAAAAGGTGAACCTGAAATCGATACTCAGAAAGTAGAGCCTGAAAACAGTAAACTATCAGATCTGGATCCTGAAACACGTCAAACAGTGGAAAAGATGATGGTTTGATCTTGAACCCCTTGAATATTGTTTATATATTTATTTTTTCAAGCATGTTTCTTTGGAATATTCTCAACTCGGTAACCCTCTTCTTTTCCTTTAATGAAGTTGTTTTATATGTATTCTTGTTTTGTGTATAATACTCCATTTGTTTATTTGATAAACTTTATAATATATTAGACACTAAAGATAGTGAAATAATAAATAAATAAATCTCTCTCTCTCTCTCTCTATGTATATATATATATATTTATATATTGAAAAGCCTAAGGGCCTAAGGGCTGATTTTGTTGAAATAGAAATGATACATAAAGGTTGTATGAGAGGGCCCAATAGAGACATCCTACCCATACGATACCAAGTACTACAATACCCCAACAAAAGGATACAAAGAGACTCAAGAAATTTAAAACATGCAAAAAAAAAAAAAACAAGTATCTAGGGACGAATCAGTTTAGTCTTGCCTCTTTCTCTAGTTTTAGGAGCAGAGCTAGATAACAAATTTTAAAGTGTCGTGCCATTGTCATGAGTAATCAAAGTATCATCTATTAAGTTTTCAAGTTGGAGTGTGCCCCCAGCCTTGCCTCCAGCTTTCTTCTTCCGCCGAGAAGTGTAAACCTGTACCTTTGCACCTGATGTTTCTTGAATAGGAGCTATGAGACTATCCTGATTTTCGGTTCGAGCATGACAGTAGAAGACAATACATTCGTCGCCACAACAATAGGTTCCAGTGTATGTGAAGTGTGAATTGTCACATCTGCACCTGATGCTTCCTGTAAAGGAGTTGCGGGGCTATCCCGATTTTCGGTCCGAACATAATCCCTTATAGTATGGTCAGGAGAAGGGTTCCCAAGAACAAACACCATTTTCTGTCTTGTGGTGATTCTCTCCTCAGGTTGGCTGTCATCAGGTTTGTTGGGAACGCGTTCAAGTGCACTAACAACATGTTCCTGCTTTTGACTATTAGTTCTCAACTGTGGGTGCAATCTGAAAGATTTCTCTTGCGGGTGCCCAAACATTTTGTAGTGTTTACAGTAGTGAGGTTTTTGTTCTATAATGATTTTCTGTCAATATTCATTGTGAGCAGAGCCAAACCAGATTTCTTCTACATCTGTTAGTGTAATATCCCTTTCAATCAAAATCCTTGCAATAGACACTCTTGAGAAATGAAAAATAAACTGTAGGCGTATTTACCTGCAAAGATTTTCCAAGGATAGTCCCAATTGCATATAAGATAGGTAGGTCAAAGAATTGAGGCTTGAGGCTTGAGTTCAGGTAATGAGAA